TCCACGTGGCCTAAAAGCTGTTCCTGATGTTTAGAGAGTTTTCCTGTGAATACAAAAGGGGACAGTGTTCTCCGAGACTCGCTGGCTGGCTGCGGTTCAGTTCAGATGCAGGAGAGCCTTAAACGCCTGTGAGCCAAAGACCATTAACATTCCCCCGATAGCATTAAACACTGAATAATGATTTGCACTGCGAGGGTGTAACCGCCCACAAAGGGTTGTGTCCTGGTGCAGGTGGAATCCATGCCCACTCCTGTAGGGCACTGACCCTCTCTGTTGGTTATCACATACAGCAGCTAATGACCCTCCGCCAGCCCTAGCTACCACATCACTTCTTTTAGCTTCTGCTTTGATTCCTGCTACCGAGAGTCCCACCATGCAGACTGCCTAGACCCTTGGTCTGGTTTCACAGTCTCATTAACTGCCTTTTGGGGGCAGGAGGTAGGGGAAGGGCAGAGCCAGGCTCCATCCCCTTGCTCACAGTCTAGAGTGGCCAAGCCAATAGTGGTTGGGGATATACTCATGATAAAGTCTAGCCTGCCTAAGTGTGCATGCATGATAAGGGCTCTGCCGCCTCCCCCCAGCCCAGCGCTCCAAGGAGGGAGGTGGTACAGCGCAGCACCCCGTGTCAGAGGCTAGGATGCTTGAGTGCTTCAGAGCAAGTTTGTTCAACGAGCTGGAGGCTTACAGCTCAATCTCTTCTAATTAAAACACCTGCAGCTTTGCAGTTTGTGTGTGCCCGCAGTGCCCAGTCAATACTCGCTTGAGATGCTGAAGCAGGTGGATGTACTTGGTCCTTTCTAGCACAGCCTAAAGAAACCTGTGGCACAAAAAGCCAAGGTATTTGAACATTAGATATGTTAACTTAGAGGTTTAGTGCTTCAGATGTAAAGTATCACAGCCTGGAACTGGGCTGCCCTCCCATGCGCTGCCTGGGAATTAACAGCAGAAAGTCTTAGTTACACATTGTGCTCCTGGAAAGAAGCAGCAGCACTTCCCAGACCAGCCAAACGGGTCTTGCCTCTGCTT